ACTTAAAGTGTGATGGCGACGGATAGCGCATTGCAACTTATGCTAATAGTCTTGTGGTTGATTAAAAAAATGGAGTTAGACAACAGACAAAGGTAATATTCTTCTAAGATTTTTTCTTTCAGTGAGAAACACGTTCTAAGGATTTTTTATCGAATTAAATTAAAAGTTAACAGTTATCCCTTAGAAATAAGAAACCACGAATTGGTTGTATCACACAACGATTCCAAATATCGTACAAGTACCGGTGAAAAAAGCAGAGATTAGATTTTAAAATGTAATATCAATTCTGTTCCCACTTTCTAGACCTTTTAAAAGCTTTACTTGACATCCTACTATAACACGTGGTGAAGGATCACCAAGTATATTAAACATGTTATATAACATTCACTTCTTCACAGAAATATTGTTAAAGAGAGAGCGATCGACTCATATCAATTACTTTCTGGATGTTTGTCCTCTTGATTCCTGGACTAAACCGTAGCATTGAAAAAACTGTCTTTGTATGAGAGACTGATTAATAAAATGCACTAGAGAAAAAGGTAAAATTTCAATGGAATATTACCGTATCTTGAAATTATAGTGAACTCGATCTCTGAACTTTAACTCGTGTGCTTTGCCTGTCATGCTCACTAACATTCATTTAGAATCTGAGTCACCTCTCTTATTATTACAAGCAAACTACCACTTTATTTGAAATTACCTTCCTTAGACAGTCACACCGAAGACGCGGAAGATCTAGAAAGACGATCTATCTGTGCAGAACAATCGCTTCTGTTCAAGAGTAGAATGTCAAATTCGTTAAAATCCCTTGATCCATTATGCAAGCCTCTGTCTTCTGTTGTTGAGAATTATCCTTTTTCCTAAGACAAAGTAAGCATTACTGCACTTGCTTGTGATGTGATGAAATCACCCAAACTGTAGATGACAAAAATGATAACTGCTTATTTCCGGCGCCGAAAATCGAATAAAAAATCGAAGTCAAGAACACCAGCTGACGGTCGATAAATTGGCATTAAAATCCTGTCATAGCCGGAAAGAAGAGCTGGTGGTAAGGTCGTCGCGTTTCAATCAATCTCCAAATGTTTTCTCTTAGTAGTCATTTAAAGGCCAAAAATTATTTGAACTAAAAATTTTTCCAGCCATTTTCGTTTCTATATTTTTACAAATCAAAAGAAGTGGTCAAACAATTTATTTTATCTCTGTAAAACAGCTCTCGCAAATGTGAGAAAAACCTTGAGTATTGAGTGTAGTTTAGCAGACAGTAAGTACCATCACTTACGGATCAATAAAAATATCAAATATTCCCTCATAGAGATATGAATATTTATTAACCAACTACACTCCGTAGAGTACAAATAGAGAGACAAATAGAGAGTACAAGTAGAGAGACAAACGCCCAAGACGTGTTAAAATATCACGCGGTATTTGTACTCCAGAGAACCGGTTAGAAAGGTTTTCTCGCATCGCGCAAGCGACGAATTGGGTTGAAGTTACAAAAAAAATGGCGCACAATTTAAATCATTTTTCTGACGACGAAGAGTCGGAATGGCTGGCGACAGTGAGGTTTCATCATTTATTGAAGAAAATAGAAACAGCAATACGACAACGCGCCAATTCCGTACCGTTTCGCATACTTTAGTCACGCACTCCCCGTAAATAAATGATAAATAACTTATTAGACGTTTTGGTGAGTCGTATCGCTGAGTATTTATACCCGTTGTTTGTATTTTGACTCGTCAAAATACAGCAGAACTCGTAAATATGCTCAGCGATACCACACAACAAAACGTCTAATGAGATATATGTATTTGAGTATAAAGTCATGATGGGTCTAAAAGTACTTACGAGTGACCACGAGTGGCCACGAGTGACCACGAGTGACCACGAGTGACCACGAGTGATATTAAATAAAAATATCTCAGTTTTGTTACTATGACGTCATTACGCAATCAAATTCACATCATTTCATCAAGTACCTATTAGAAAGGAGACTATTGACTGAATATTTTCCGCGGCATACGTCCGATAATTGAAAAAAAAGTCCAAAAAAATATATTTAAAAACCATAACTACAGCAAAACGCATATTTTATTATATTTCATTATATTACCACGGTAACTTTATCCTCGTCGTCGCTTAGAACGATTAAATGCCTTCGATCTTTCTTTTTCTTTACAAGACTTTCCTTTTTGGCGGAAATATCTTTACGCTTCTTGTTTAATAAGTCAGCCATGACCGAACTTGGGCATATGGTATTTCGAGGGCTGGACTGGACTGGACTGGACTAGTAAAACGCAGACTAGTAAAGCGCGGACCAGTAAAACGCGGACTAGTAAACGCGGACTAGTAAAATGTGGACTAGTAAAACGCGGACTAGTAAAACACGGACTAGTAGAACGAGGACTAGTAAAACGCGGACTAGTAAAACGCGGACTAGTAAAACGCGGACTAGTAAAACGCGGACTAGTAAAACGCGGACTAGTAAAACGCGGACCTCTGTTCCGTTTTTTAATGTCACGGAAAGTCAAATTGTAAGTGAATGCAAATGTATTTTGGAGTTGTCAGTCTTCTTGTTTGTTTTCTGTAATGGCGTGTGTAAATCGGTGTTTCTTCCACCGAAAAGCTGAAGTTAATGAGACTCTTTCTACCTAGACACGAGGAGATTTAATGCGACTTTTATTCATCGAATTCTTGTGTTTCTGCCGTGAAATTTACGCCTTCGTATGAAATTGTTTGTTGTTGTTGTTGTTGTTGTTGTTAAGTCCGCGTTTTACTAGTCCGCGTTTTACTAGTCCAGTCCAGTCCAGTCCAGTCCTCGAAATATCATCTGCCCCGGACTTGACAAGAAACGCGCAAACCCATTCTAAAGCGCGCGGAAACGCCCAAAATGCCCCCCATGGTGTCTAGCTGCCTAGTTCCCAGGTTATTTTTGTATACTATTTTTGGAATCACACGGAGAGGTTAGGTGCAATAAAAAGTTGTCATGATAAACATATATTCATACGAATTGTTCACGACCCAAACGATATATAAGCTAAGAAAATAGCCGGACTATTACTTTGACTCTAGGAGTAGTGAGTTTACGACGCAAAACCCAATGAAGGACTTGTCGAGACATCTCGTCGGCAGTACATTTGAAAGTTGGGTTGTTAAAATAGAGCCAAATAAAATGGTCATGTAATATTTATGACTATTCTTAAAATCGTTTTTGTTTTCAACCTATCATAACCGTGCAATCTGTAATGTATAGTCCACAATGCAGGTTTTTAAATATTATTGCATCTGTTTTCATTAATTTCAAATCCTCCGCTATTCATTTATACAGTGAATAACTTCAGTTTTCGTGGGTAAGTCATTATTTCATGAAATTAAGTCAAAATGATTCCGTAATGACGTCACAGTAAGCAAACTGAGATATTTTTATTTAATCTCACTCGTGGTCGCTCGTGGTCACTCGTGGTCGCTCGTGGTCGCTCGTGGTCACTCGTGGTCACTCGTGGTCACTCGTAAGTACTTTTAGACCCTATCTAAAGTCGTCGCTTTAAAGATAAGTTTAGTTTCATTTAAGATGATCGGCAGATTTATATGTCCCAAGCGGTTATGGTTGCTTATTAGTAAAGCACAATGATAACAAATTCCTATTGTATGCCCCGCAATGAAACCTATTCTCAAATTAATTACAACCTTTTTCTTTGCTGATATTCCCTATTTGTGGGCCGTTTAGGGCGAATATCATCAGTGGAAAACAAAGATGATCGAAAGTTCTATCGACAAGGTTGCTTAAAAACCGAAAGGTTGCTTAAAAACCAATTACAGAGGGGTACCATATCGGATTATAATTCTGGGTCTAAAATGATTTTTTTTTTTTTATAAAGCTTGGTCAAACGGCGATAGAAAGAATCAGATATCATTAAGTGAGCATTTTTTAATATCTTCTTTGTAAACATACATGCACTGGGAAGTTATTACGAACCAGCAATGATTGCAATTGGGATCATAGTCACCACTCAGTTAATTCCATATCCTGACCTAACTCTGGTATAAACGTCAAGATTGTAAATATTGTTTAGGAAATGAAAGGAAGAGTTAAGCTGTTTTGGGTTCACTCACTGTAGTTAACCTATACAGTTTCGCTCAAAAATGACAGTTTACATCACTTATTAATTCATTTTACTTCAGGCCTGTTGTTTTTTAAGCTATTTTTGTTTCTATCATGACTCGTTTTAAAAGTCGAATCATTGGACGCAATCGATCGCGACAGAGAGCAAATCCTGAGGACTAAGACAAATCAACAGCCTCTTGCAAAAATTAAGGCGATCAGTTATTTTGCAAGGTCTGTTCTGTCGCACTTAGTATACTAAGATGAGCTGTCGCATTCGAATAACACTTGTCTGATCGCACTTTGTAAACTTGGTATAGATGATCGGAGGGCAAGAAGACCCAATGATAGTTACCATTTCTGTCCAAGATTACGATGATAATAATGATGATGATGATGATGATGATGATGATAATGATGATGATGATGATAATGATTACGATAATCATAAAGATAGTATATGTCATATTATTAAATAGCTTAGGCTAAGGGCCGATGTAACGCTCGCTCTGATTGGCTAAGAGCGAGAGTATTATACAGCGGTAATCCACACGGACCGATTATGGATTAGGCGTATTAGAAAGAGCGCAAAATATCAGAATTTCACACGTTCTTTAAAAATTCGAACGCATTAAAATGATGAGGCCGATTGACAGTCAGAAAGTGTAGGCTCAATTTAATAAAGCAACAAAAGTTTTAGAAGAACAGCGAAGGTACAGTTTGAAATTACCTATGAGATTGTGCTGGAAGGGACAAGGTAAACAAACAACAATACATTCAGGCTCATATCTAATATAAAAAACTGCAAAAAATTTCGCATTGGAAAGCTATCACTGACATGATAACACTTAAACGAAAATTTTCCTAAATAAATTTTGTAAAGAGGCCACTTTTGACTTACCAGCTAACCTTGGAGAACACAATTGAAGAACAATCACAGGCAAAGCTTTCTGTGTCACAAATCATCAACGTTAGATCTGACATGCATCCTTAGCAGAACACCACCAAAAAATCTAGTATCACAACAGTTACTGGAAGTTTAAATTTTGTCACAGTTAGGTTAGTGGTTCTCATCTATAGATTCACACGCTCAGTCAACAGTCAAAATCAAATAAGCTTCCAGGAACATTAGAAGTGAATTAACAGTCGAGCTGTTTCTGTTGGCAGCAGAGTATTTCTGACCACAACAGGAAGTCTTAAATACTCAAAAGCTTGTTAAGTTCATCCATAAATCTCCTTGAAGGTGAAGATATGTTGTCGAAAGCGGAGGCGAAGATCGACATTTTCTGAAAGGTGCATTCCGAACGTTTGCATTTTCTTTCAGCAAGAGGCCAGACGAGTTTGAACTATTTTCAGAAATGACTTTTCTGTCTTTTCTCCAGTTTTGACCAAAGTCTCTCTCATCAGGTTGTGACGCCGTTATACTGAAATAATTTTCTAAGGCACTCAGAATAATTTTTTTCCGAAAAGAAATGTTCTTCGTGTTGGATTTCGAAGCTCACGCCCCATTTACTGACCAGAGTAATAAAACTTGTGATCATTTTGAGAGGAAGTCACGATATTTTCATATAGACCCCTGTTATCACCTGTAAAGTCAATAAATAGCTATAAAAACTGCGCCAGTAGTGTCGTCGGAAGCCTACCGTAGACTTCCGCTAAAGTAAGAAAGGTTTTTCTGCCACTTTCGGTTGCAGATGCTCGATGATATCATTACACTTTAGATCGACTTAATATGAAAAGTCTGATTGGTCGAGAGCATTTGATCAATACACAATAGCGTGTGAAGTTGACATGATCATCCAATATCTGCAGCGGATATCGCATATCATGTCGACTTCAAAGTCTGTCTAATTATATTCATTTCTTTATTCCTTAAGTCGTGGGTAGAGGAGAGGGAAACTGGCTTGCCAATTGATAAGATGGATTCCGAATTTCACAACTCAAAAGTAGAAGAAGAATACAAAAAAAGAACAAGTAACTAAATGCAAGGACTGTTTCGAAGTAAGGTTAAAATAATTTAAACATAGGTAAAAAGGAAGTTACCAAAGTTTACCTAAAGAAAAAATAAGTCATAGGATAAATGACAGAACTGTTTCTAATTTAACTGGAAGCATAAGAAATACTTAAGTTTAGGCATAAAATCAAGAAAAAAAAACCAAGGAAGAATAACGATGAACAAGATGAACATAAAACGCAAATGACAAAAGGGTACATTTCTCATTAAGATGCACAAACCTTTACGATGTTGCTTCAAATCAACGGTGCAAATCTGATTACGGCACTGATATTCAACTTCTACTGATCTCTACACTGAACCTGGCAGACTGATGCCTCCTTCGCTATATCTGTATAACCTTCCGATCTGAATTTTTTTTTTTTATCATTATTGATTATACAAGGACCGCATCAGGGAAGTTAAAAGGAGAACAGAGAAATGACAAGAAGAGTCGTAAAACGAATAATGTTCATGTCAGTTTGGCGATGGATCGATCATTATTTTGTCTCACAGGAAGACCATTGTGTTACGTATCGATCGATAAGTTAAGCACACATTCTCAGATTTTCTCTTTTCATTTAAATGGATTTTGATTTTGATATCGCAAAGCGTTTCCGTTTCAAATATTTGTTTGATCCACTCTTTTTTTCTTTTTCTTTTTCTTTTTTTTTTTTTTTTCGCGTAACCCGCGCACGACTATTTAAGGGTAGAGTTTGATCAAGACCTGACAACCAATATCTTATTATTAAAAGCTGATGGCTTAAAATATTCCGTCAGTGACTAGATCCGGCTGTCTTTGGAGAAAAAGAATCACTGGCCTTCTTCATGTCTCCTTGCGGACGTCATACCGCAAATTAAGGATCGTTTACATTGCATCATAAAACATTACATCTGACGATGGGCTCTTTTTTACGATTCTTTGTTTGATTTACGATTGAGTCGAGCTTCAGATCTCGTTGGCTAAAACGTCTCACTACATTCTATTACATTTTCCTTGAAGAAAAAAAGTTAGAATCGAATTCCCGCAAATCAAATTACACAGTAGTCGCCGAATTTTTACTATCTTCCTCTCATTAAAAATAGTACGTCTTGATATCCATCAGAAACAAAATATGGTGTCAGTTATAAATACGATTGGCGTTTATGGTTACAAAGGAAGTTTTATTCGAACGCGCGATAAAAATACTTGAAGATCTCTCCTTTATCGCCGCAGAATATAATCTGAGTGTGAGAAGCAAAGTAACCTCTTTATTGGACTTTTCGAGAAATCTATCCAAAAAAAGAATAATTGCCATTCTTAGTTGGTACTATATCGTGATCTCAATTCTAAGTCACAGGATTGTGTAAGTATACTGTAATTAGTTCTAGGCCGGGTTGTTGAAAGCTGGTTGAGATAACCCACGGTTACTATGAAATCGAACTTCAGATCTGAAAGTTAATAGTAAAAATTCAATATAACTCTTTTTGTCTACAATTTTACTATTGAATGCTTTAAAAAGGGCAGAGAAAATTAACTCTAAAAGGCTTTAGAACATATGAATAAAGAAACCCGGATTAAAATTTAATCCTGTGTGAGCGCTAATCCGGCTTTCGAACAACTGGGCCCTAAGTATCAAGAGTACAGTCGGAAGTTCACTCACCTTTATTAGGCGGTAGTCATGCGAAATAAATTGCTCTAAAAGCCTTTAGGTCTCACAAAATTTTGTCTATACCTGAGAAACACCATTCCTGATTAGTCATTTGATGTAGCTATTAATTTGTACCAACACCACAACAAATTTTCTAATCGTACATTAGGCGATGGAAAATTGATCCTCAGAAAAAAAAAAAACCTTTTAATGATGCTTGAAAATGTCCTTCCGCTGAATGCAGACGAGTGGAATATTTAATAATTCTAACAATAACGATCATAAATATTTATTCTAGGAAGTATTTTTAATAATAATAGCAATAATTATAATAAGCCTAAACATTCTATAATGCTAAAAAAGAAAAAAAAATTATGATTTCTTAGTCACCCAGCTCTTACCCATACCCCATACTCCATCAAAAATTCATGAATTATGTTTGAACAACCGAGACCGCACTCTGAAACGAAAAAACCCAAGCTACATGATACAAAAATCATACTTATTACCGTCATTTTTCTCAGACTATTACCAAGAATGATTAATCATAGGAAAATGTTCATATAAAGTCACGATACTCTTTAAGTCTCTGAGTTGGTTTATGGGATATTCCAATTTCTTCAGCACAACAAAAGTTTAAACAACAGTAGTCCAGCAGACTTTCCGCGATAGCAACGATGACTCTGAGATCCTCCACCAAATGTTGGAACAGAAATGGGCGATCCAAGTGGGATACAAGATAAAACTCGCAAAGTCATGATATTATTGTGCATACAATCGTTATATTTCCCAATTTACGTTGATTTACCAATTGCTTTATTTTAATATTTGACGAGTGAGTGATAAGTTATGGCATTTTTTTTTAATTAGTCTCACATCGCACAGCTAAACGTCTTCATACATGCTATGTGGCCACTTAACAGATGCGTAAGTCAAACTAACATCACAGCAAGGTAGCTTGAAATACTCAAGTAAATCGTATGACTTTGATCTCAGATTGAAGAAAAAGCTTTTTTAAAGTTAAGTCGATGTTGACGTCTCTACGGCAACGTCGTCCCCCTTGACAGCTATTTAGCCTTGCGACGCAATAGTCATAGTCTTTACAATAAACAAGCACATGACAAGAAGCTAACATCTAGAGTATATTATCTTCGAACAACATTATCGCACCAGAATTGCTATCAAAGAAATTCATTGTTGTTTTTAGATCTTTTAGAGTGAATTTAGATTTAGTAAACAACCTAGGCGCCTATTCTGTTTATAAATAAAGTTTTAATGAAATGCGTATGTAACTCCTATAATGACGAGAATGAAAAATCAAATTCAGATTATGATGAATCCTTGCTCTGGGATGTGATCGGATTAAAAGTCTATCTCTGCTAGATTTTTGCGCCAAACAGCACTCAAATAACATTCTAATCACGGTGTTTGTAATAGCAAGCAGAAGCGACTGAAACGAGGGCCTGGCACTACTGTATCTGAAGTCGTGATTTTAGGAAAAGAAACTAGAAATTATAGTAATTCCTTATGATTTTATCTCCCCAACAATTTTTGCCTGAGGTAGTTTTACAGAGTTTTTTTACGAGGGAGCAGCAGCCAATTCTGGGTCAGAGTGCTTAATTACTTATCTCTTAGGTGTTACATCCTTACTACTTATCATTCTGAAATCAGCCCACGCGAACTACATGCAAATATCAGAATGGAAGTAATGATTATGTCCTTCTCTACTTAATGTCGACTAATACCATATTCTAGATATTAGTTCTCTCCTCACTTAATTCTAGCCTCTCTCTTGAAACCATAATGACAAATTGTCGCGATCACTTCGTATGGTAAGACCATTGGAGTTACAAACCACACACTTTTTACTTTAATTGAGATCGCGTATTTCAAAACCTTGTACAGACAAACCTGTTACTATTTAATTGACAGATATTCACAGACACTTTATCAGACATTTGCTATATAGATTCGTCATCCCTTTGCGAAAGGACTTGCTTGCTATGGAATAAATAACAGGATTTGCGGAAGAATTTGCTATCACAAATAATGTAACTGCGAACAACGTATTTTCATAATAGTCCTTTTCCGCAAGGGATGGCCAAAACGCCAGAGTGAGGCGGAGAATAGTCAAAGGAAACATTGTAATCGCAAATACAACAACGACAGGTGTTAAGATCTTCTTTGCGCGTTTGTTTTGTCGAAGACGAATACTTTGAACGCCGGTCACAGCAACTTGCAAATTGCCTTCTGCGCCATCTTGGCCCCTTTTCATGGCGAACAGGAAGTTACTGCTACGGTTTATTGCTCGTGATATTGCTAGATAAGTCCAACATATGACACCAAGAGGAATAATGTAGCCAAATGTGGTCAACAAACATAAATACAATTGCGCAATAATCAAAGAAGGCCAAATTGGCCCACACCATACTCCGACCTCGCCGGGAGGCAGCCCAAAACTTACCACAAAATAGAATGGTAAACTGAAAAGTAGAAACGACGCTACCCAAATACAAACAGCGGTTGTCTTCGCATATTTCAGCGAAATTTTGTTTTTGTTCCTGATTGCTTTTCGCGGAATAACTATTTCCCGATATCGCACGATGGCGATGACAACAATGAACCAAACGGAAGTTCCATGAAATATTTCAGGTATCGGATACGAGTACAGGCAGACGAACTCACCAAGAGGCCAGTTCGTCGGCGCGTTTTCCCTGATGGCTACCAGCGGAAATGTTAACAACAAAATTCCAAGATCTGCAATGGCTAAGTTCAATAGGTAGAGATCTGTTGTCGTTTTCTTCTTTCCCAGTCCTTTTATAACTACCGCCACCAATACATTTCCAAATATTCCAAACAAAGCTATTAACACCTCAACAGTAAGTTTTATAATACTAAACCGAGACAGTTTCGTAGTGATATAGTCAGTACTCGTATTGTTCATGACAGAAGAATCGTTCAGATCCTTTACCAATGACAACTTGAATATTCCCTGCGAGCTTCCATTGTGTCACGGCGTCGATTCCTGATCTTCTTCTTCTTCATAGGCTCCGGGAAAAGTGTTGGTTGCTGTGAAAGGTAAAACTTAGAGCCCGTTCGAGGTTATGGTATCAAATTCAACAAGGAAGTCCTTTTAGTGTGTTTGCTGTTCTAGTACTATTACCCCCAAGGTCAATAATTCAACTATTCCGTCAATGCAAGGTTCTAACTATTTAACTGAATCGATCGATGTCAATTCGCAGCGGGGAAACTTCAAAGCAAAATCATTCGACAAAATTAAGCGATCACGTTTATGGTACAAATGAGTCAAAAACGCGATCGGATGGAAGTTTGAAATGAATCTTGTTCTTGGTGGAGATAAAATCAAAGCTCTTTCTCTCTTAAGACTTTGTTGCAAATAGCCAGCTGTTAGGGTTTTCAAAAACCGCTTTTTTAATCAAATTTTGCACACCTGCCGATGGATCTAGCTCGTTGCGTTTGGAAAACATCACGGCAGAACCAAACAATGATTTCATACCCAATAGCAGTAAAAAAAAAACTTAGTCTAAAGCCGCATTTCATTATTTTCTTTTTAAATTACTGTTCAGCAGTTTTAATTAAAAGCATAAGCATAGAAATTCTTTAATTTGTTCTGTGTGGCTGTTTTTTAGACCTTAAAAATTGTTTACCCTTAAACGCACGAACTGTTGAATATTTAATTCCTTGACCTTACAGCGAATCAAATCACGTGGAGCAGCTGTATCAGTCATGGTGGCAATCAACAGCGCTTTCCCCCGTGCAGATTTCACAGGTCATGCTGTTTCAAGATTGGATTTGGAATTTAGTTAAGTCCCCCACCAGGTAACCTTTTTTCTTTCTTTCCGTTTTTCCCTTTTGCAAGTACCAACTGTAGCAGTTTGGCGTTATTATAATTCTCATTCTTCTGTCGTTATTTAGCGTTTTTATAATGCTAATCAAGTTTAAGATAATGAATATGAAAATATATATACGTAATTGTTGAGCTATATTTTTCCTTTGGACCTCCAAGGAATGATAAAAAGTAAAACGTTATTGAGGTCTTACCACCTTAAGTGATTGTTTATATTCAAAATGTCTTTTCTTTCTCCTTTGTTTTCCTTTGTTTTTGTTTTGTTTGTTTGTTTTTTTTCTTTTTAACTAGCCAGCTGTATCAGAATCCACCAACATGCGTCTCAACGGCCTCACATCACGAGAAAAGCGAAGTGCAATAAAACCCTTGATCACATCAGACTCGAGGTTTGAAAACTGGAGAAAATCATCTTAGGAATATCCTTAAATGTTTCTCAGTTTTAGCTGGGGTGTGTACCGTCACGCAACAGTTTAAATCAGTTGCGCGCACACGAACTGATCGATGATGGATTACAAGTTACAACGCGCGCTGGCTACTACCACGTCTATTTTCTCTGTTTATCAGACCAAAATCAATTTCAACAGAAATTTTCTCCTTCCTCCTGATAACAATTGTTTCATCAAAACCATAGGTGGCATATTCCGTGGCCAAACATATTTTTATCTTCTTACACCAGTTAATTTGAAAATCAGTGTGCGTCAAGTATTTTCGCTCGCGTGCGACTAGTGGAAATGCCCAAGTTGTGCTTCTTATTTATTTTCCATTGTGTAATTTATGATATATATCAGTAGAAATAAAAGGAATTACATATACATTGATATAATATAACTGACTATTTAGAATGTGGCGAGGAAACCCGTAGGGAAACCAAGAGGCTTGTGCGAGCTACGGGCTTCTCATATTTTACAAAAGTCAGGCATCAGTTTTTTTGCCTGACTAGGTGCAAAATATTTTAGGTTAAAAAGGAAAGAACATATACACATATAAAACAAGTGACAAACAGTAGCAGGTACTCAAACAAGCATATACTTAAGCAGCTTGAGAAAAGAAGGGGTTCTACTTAGGAGTAACGTTCGCAATATAGACTTAAACAGGGATAAAAAGATAAAAACGTGTTTGGCGAAGAAAAAAACTGTTTATAATATCCCTCTGAAAACTCAAGAAATCCGTTTTCAACGGTAAGCTGTTAATAAGCATATTGTTGCTTACGCTACAAATATACCTCAAGGATACCAATCAGGATAGCTCCCATCGAAAATATTCTCGCAAACTTATTCCTTAAATTATTTGTTCTTATAACACACAGATAACAGACAACGACCGCGCGCATTTGTCTGAGCATACTTTTGTCTTAAAGGAAAGGTTTTCTTCACTTACAGGTATTAGCTATCAACAAAAAAATTTTCAAAAAAGGGATTTTCGAATTCTATCGTCTCTGAGGACATATGTCCAAATTCATGGTTTCCACAAGAATTCGAAATCTGTCCTACAACGTTTTGAGTCAACATAGTAAGAAAAAAGTGGCTTTTATGGGTTTCGAGAATGGACCTTTACCAAAGGAAGTTTTTTCATCGATGAGTCCTTTCATTAACATTGTATTTAGGCTTGGTACGAGAGCCCAATGGCCCGCTAAACTTTCAAAATATCCGAAATGCCAAAACAATAAGGTGGTTCAAGGGCTTTTTCCTTTGTTAGCCAAAGGCTGAGATGACCTTGAGGTGCGAACATGTTATGGTCGAGAAAATTTTTGTCAAATTAGCCTTTTCCAGGCTTTCAGTTGGTAAAATTTTAACGGAGCAAACTAGTACAGTACTTGGGACAGCGCGATAGATGCGACAGAGCGAAAGCAAGAGAGGTTTGGGTCGAGTCATGTAATGACCCGCCCAAGCCTCCCTCGTTCATTAACGCGCCGTTGAATGTCGTGCTTAGTGTTAATAGAGAGATTTGGCACCGCGTTTACGTGAAACATGAACGCCAAGAGTCATCACGTGACCTTGTTTTTCCCGCCTTTTTTTCACGTTTTCCGGTTGCGCTTAGCCGTTTCTACTTGAAAGTACCCTGTTTCGCGTTTACCGTGTACATAACATTTTCTTTACTTTTTCTTTAAAAGAGAAGAAATTAATTTCCTTAAAAGAGTACTAAAATATATTGTTTATAGTTCATAAAAGAGCATCTTTAAATCACCGTGACGTCATCTCACGCGAAGCTAAAGCAGCAAGGTTCAGACTATTTTACGGGGATCGTGAAAGGGCTAGCTGACGTTTGCCGTTTTACGTAAACGCGGTGTTAAATCTCTCTACTAACTAACGTCAGGAACGGCTAGTTTCAAATTCGAAGAGAAAAATAGGCATCCACAAACCCTCAGTAACAAGAAAAATGGAATTAGGTTGAGTGCCTGCGAATTAGCCGGAAATGAGATATTTCTTCAGCACGAGAACAACAGGCCCTGGGCCTGGGCCCCGGTGTGGCTTGAACTATGGGTAAAGCTGTGCGAATATTTGAGATCGAGATTGCATAAGGGTAAACCTTTGGGCTGACATCGTGAGATATTATTCGTGCCACGAGAACCGTACAATCATATCTTTGAGCTTACGAGCAATTTTTTTTTTATTACTATGGACAATGAGAAATGGAAGAGATTGAAAAGCTGGCTTTCATACTGAAATACTGAGTATCAATTGTAACAACATACCGGGTGCCCAAATTACAAAAAAGGTTTACATGTAACACCGTCAGCTAGGCCAAAATACATTTGAACTGGTTTTAGAAGCTTAATGAGTTACCGGATACTTTAATTTTCAGCCTTCTTTTCATTACTAACCTTTGAATGCTGTTCAACACGAACAGAACAAAAATTTGCCTTTTTCTTGTCGCAACTTTCGAAAAATTCCTTGAAAATCTGATAGAACATACGTTTTGTTTTTGATCTTCTTGTTAATTCTTTGTTGTTTGGAAAATGCATTTAAATCTTCGTCGCTTACCACAATCAATCTGATATTAAGGCCCTTTATGTATTGTAAACAACAAACAAACCAACTACATTCAGCAAAGTTTGAAAAGGCGGAATATGTGACATTCTTGCTCAATATCACCACTACTGTGGTGTTACATAATTAAGAATAATACGCCACTCAGTTCTCGAATGTAATGTTCGTATTAATTCTATAGAAATAGAAATATAAATAGAAAATAGAAATAGAAATCTTTATTCCTCCTTAAATAAAGACATATCTTAAGTTACATCAGCAGTTAGGAGTCGAAAAATACATAAGATATACTATATAATAGAAAGATCAAAGATTATATCTAAAAATAGGCCTATTTACTAAAATATTCTTAAATATGTCAGTCTTTATATCCGGGCGATAAGCAATTTTGTTTCTGAGTTGGTACTTTGTTTGTTTCTTCTTCGGAATGATGTTACTAAGCGGGAAATCGGTATCCACTGAAAGTACCTTGAGACACTTCTACGAGTGTCTAGGTTCTCGATAAAACACTCAAGTCCATATAACTCATCTTATACAATGATAAAGGTAAAAAATCGAAGAGAAATATAAAACACAAGATTGATATTTTCACATCCAAACCTAGATAAATCGTCAAAAACTACAAATGTAAGTCCTCTTGGAAATCCTTAGTATGTCATCTTTGGTGTCCAGTCAGCATCAGAGGGTCTCTGTTACCCAATGGAAGTGTATTCTCTCTCTTTCATTGCAGAATATTTTGAGGGAACAATCCTAAACAGGCACAAACCAAAATATTTGTCAACCACGAAATGTCAATCACATGGATATACAAATAGCTTACAAATTGAGCGATACTTGGAACTGGGAATTCAGCTTAAACTTTATAACTTGGGAGCCATTATAATTGTATTCTGAGTACTTGTGATCATCAGGCAGCATCCCGAAGTACAAATCTTTCATCTTCACCGTTTGATTACCGCGTACAAGTGAAATGTTTTGGCAGCCTTCTGCCAGAAAGACTCAAAATTTTCTTGATTGGCGCATTCCTTTAAATCATGGCTTGTAAATTGAAAAATCTGCCACATTTGAGGCACCTGAAAAACATTTGTCCTTAGTCCAAGGCAGAACGACAGCGCCATTGAAGACTGGTAAAGCTCGACAAATGTAGGTTAAAAAACACCAAGTGCACTTGTCCCACTGAACAGATAACTGATCGTTTTGCAAAATATACAAAAATTTGCCTGGTGCACTTGGGCCCTTACACTCGCCAGCGAGTGCGCAAATCCACATCTTACGAGCTCAAGATTTCATGGTTTGTGTGTGAGTCTCGCCCGCACCGTGGCATTACCAACGAAAAAACTACAAAGGGACAGGATCGATGACCTAAAATTTTAGAAAAGGTTTCACCTAAATCAGAAGGCGGCTACAAGAAATTCCAAAACTCTGCGAATTTTTTTTGTTATTTGCGCAAAATTTCTTATCTCAGATTTTTGTATTTGCATGTACATTTATTTGGGAATGTATAATTCTTCCAAGTTGTAGACAGTGATTGAAATCTGAACGTCTGGTTTGGTGACAAAACCCAGGGCAATTATAGCTTTAGATTAGTTTTTGTCTTTAATTTGAAATTTCCTTTAAACGTAAAATATTTTGAAAAAGGAAGGCTCGCCTAGATTGCACCTTACTATTGATTGCGATTCGAGGCATTTTGGCTCTAAAAATTGATATATCTCAAACTTTAAAGTTTCGATACGTTTATACTTAAGGTGTGCATAGTCAATCCAATGAAAAAATATTGGGTTGTCGAATTCTGGAAACAAAAGTCATGTAAACGCAGTCTATCGATGATCCTCTTAATAAAGGGATCGAGCGGCACTCGCCAGAGGAATGCTGCTTTGCAGGGACGGCGGAGCATGTCGGGGACTTACCAAGCTAGCTAAGAAACCTTTGTTGTCCTATCTTCTAGTGAAGAGTACTTCAGGAAAATATGTGATTCAGTTAAATCAAGTGTAAGAACACAAATATGAATAAAACCGGATTCGAAGAAGATATTTTTGCGAATACGCGCTCCTTGAAAAAATACTAATATTTTGTGGTTTTCTTTGCATCAAGTTATATTCGAAATTTAAACGACCATTGCAGTAGAAAGAGGAGATATTATACATTTTACAGTTACAACTGAAAAAGACAACATAACCTATAGCTATAGCGGACGAGCCTTTTCCAAGTACCATCTTTCACAATGAAAATACTCTTTGTCGAGATAACTGGAAAATTTGAAATTTTGAGCAACTTTACCTGACTTTAAGGATACAAGTTTTTGCAGAGAAAAAATGACAGAATTTATTTTTATCATAATCGTCGGGTTGTATGCATAGGGATCCTATCAATAATGCCATCTTGTTTATTTAGATCAACATCGCCTTTCGGCGGTGTTATAAAACTAACGAAACGCCGTTAGCGCAACAAAGTAGCAGACAGTTGAAAGGTTTTGGCGTCCCAAAATCGCAGTTTGAGTTTCGAACTGCGATTCAGCGGTTATAAGCATCAATGACAGATCAGTCAGAGACTTATCAATATTCAAACAAAACTATCTGCGACACGCATCCAAAACAAGTGTCTCTTATGCAAAACTTTTAGCAGCCACGTGAAATCATTTTAAGCCCTGACTGTGCACACTAATGTGCGTTTAAAAGCCTTCACTTTGATTCAGACAAAAAAGAGCAAAACAGTCACACCCATGTTAGCGTTTTTGTTTTGCTCTCAACTGTACACACAACTGTGCTTTTGGTGGAAAACTTTTACATTTTGATATATTTCCGTCCATCGTCTATACTACAGAGCAGTTTTCGTCACCGTTTTGGGAAACCTACATTTTCTTCATCTACACGAGAAACGGAGCCGCGCAAAAACGCTGCGTTTTCGAATCGCCCCCTTCTGAAAATGTCTACGAAAGTCTCCGTTTTCAGTGGCGTTTGCGTGCGCTTTAGCGTGAACGATAGGAAGGAGAGCCTTGAAAACTATGTGTTTTCGAATCCTATAGCTGGTCGGAGCCTTTATTTCGCAAAATAAGAGAATATGATGGAGACCAGTAAGATAACCTCAAGTCGTTGTAGAAGAGCGTAAAATATATGAGCTTACTAAACAATCACTAGCTCGCAACTCACAACTTTTCGGGACACTGTTTAAAACGCTCTTTTAGAATCTCGAGGTATGAAGGAAGGAAAACTTCCCTTTGCAATTGATGAAAGCTAATTCTATGAAAGAAATCAGGTTAGGGTGGTCTGAATCAGGCTTGGTCTTCTGCTGAAAGACCTGTCGATTAGAAATTTATCCAGGCTTAATGAAGCCGTATGTTATCTCTTTGTAAAACTATATAGAACGGTACGGGCAAGCCGTAGTCTGAGTGCCGATGAGCAGTGCACGGCGCACCTGAAGAGACAAGCTTTCAAAAAACACTGATAACAGCCATTTGTTTTGTAATTATCTTTTTAATCATCATTATCATTATCTTTGTTGCTATCATTATTGTGTCTGTTCATCAAAAGTTCTTGAAGCTTTCCGAAATCCTTTTTAGGGTCACGCCTTATTTTGGAATTGAGTACACCCATTAAGTTCGTTATTTTAAAGAAGAAAATCGATCTAATTTTTCATTTCTATACTCCCATTGCATTTACATCACGTAAAACATGAACAAATCTACTGCAAAAGCCTTTCGCTGCATCCCGTGGTTTAACCCTATTTGATTTTATAACGGCGCTAAAGAATTTCATAGCCGCAATGTCAGAAGAGAAAAGAGAACGAATAATGTGTTGCACCGGTGTCTCCCTCGTCGGCAAACCTATTGGAGGATAGCGATAATAGAGGCGGGAAGTTGATTCGATACTGTGATACCTCGGGCTTCTTCAAAGAGCAGCATACGCGCAACCCCATTTCCTGAAATGACAGCTTTATTTATTCAGGTCAATTAATATATACCTGCACAGTAAGTGTATTCATACGTGGCTAATGTTGCCATTCTAATTCATTTTTTTTATATATATTTATATACATATATTTTCCTCACGTTCAAAGATTGGTTTCGTTCACGGCGAGGCTCGATTGCCTTGAAAAAATGAAAGCTGATACTTGTTTGTTCTGATGATCACGAGATCTTCGGCTTAATGTTGACGACCCCTGAAAAATACTTGAGAAATAACCCGATCGAGTCTTTCTGAGTACCCGTTGGAATACATTCTTCATGCAGTGACGAAACTGGCTGCTTACGATGGAATAAATAACAGGATTAGCGGACGAGTTCAAAATTACAAACAAGGTGACTGCGAACATTAAATTTTCATAATAGTCTTGACGGGCAAGCGCAGGCCAAGATACAAAAATTAGTCTAAGAATTGTCAAAGGAAGCATTGTGACCCCGAATACCACAACGATTGGTGTGAGAATTCTCTTTGCTCGTTTGTTTTGACGGAGTCGAAGAGTCTTAAGCTTGGTTCGTCTTGAGATCTCTTGATTTCTTTTCAAATCCTTGAGGAAGGAGCTGCTGTTTTTCAACTTGCGTGATATAGCCAAGTATGTCCAAGATATTATAACAAGGGGAAGAACATACGATGACAAGGTCAATATCACCACGTACACTCGCAGTAATAACCACGAATGCCATACTGGACCACACCATTTTTCACCAGTTGGAAATTCACGGTACTTGAGTACAAAATTCAGCGGTAGAGAAAACATTAAAAATGATATTATCCATATGAAAAAAACGATGATTTTGGCTTTTTTCAATGGCGTCTTTCCCATGTTTTCTTTGGGCTTTCGCAGGAGGACTATCTTGCGATACCTCTCAACTGCTATGATTGTGATGCACCAAATGGAAGCGCCGTAGAATGCTTCAGTGAGAGAGTATAAGTAAAGGCAAGAGAATCTTCCGAAAGGCCAGTTCATGGGAAGCTCCATCCTTACGACGATGAGAGGAAAGACAAAAAGTAATGTCCCAAGGTCTGCAATTGCTAAGTTTTGAATATAAAAGTCAGCGGACGTTTTCTTTTTTACGAGTTTTCCAAACACGAAGACCACCATAAGGTTTCCAAAAACCCCAAACAAGGTCACTAAGACTTGTAGCGTAAGTTTCACAGTCAAGGACAAATTCATATCGGCGTCGTCTTCAAGCGAGGCTGGATTCAGATAAAGATGTATTGTTGCTTCAAGAACATTTGAATGCGATGATTATTTACATGAACGTGCTCCTCGCTCTCAATTTGGCTGGTGCCGGTCACGAGGCCAATGTAAATAGTTAACGTTAATGGATAACAGTTGGAGCTCTCATTACTTTCTGTCTTTAATTCAATATTTAATGAGTGATATCTATGGCTTCAGCGCCCCATAAGCTGATCACTTCGATTAGCATTCTTCAAGTACATATCAATTTCCATGGTTTTATTACCGAAAAAACTGTGGACCGGAGTGATCATTACGCACTAAGTCCAAAACAAATAGCGTGGGTCTCGCGAGAAGCATTCGACGCCGGTAATCAGTGTGGAACAATTCGTCTGATAGATGGATGGCTGAACAGATTTAAAACTTTGACAAAAACATAACAGATCTAGAATAGTCGAAAGATCCATTATTTATTTCTAGAACGTCTCACTATGTATCATTTTTATCTTATCAAATACCGTAAGTAAACATTGACTCTTAAAAATATGTTTTAAGCATGAGATTACCTGTACACTTATGTTACTTCCAAAAGAAAAAGCCAAAACAAAATTGGTGTCAGCATCGCAATCACTAAAACACTGAAGGGCACCTCGTTGTTGTATAATCTTTTAAGGTTATTATGTATTCCTGTAATTAGTCTATCTTCGCGCCATTTAAGGGGGATCTTTCGTTCTAAATTTTCCAACAGGCTTTTCCTTGTCGTTTGGAAAACAGTTGCTATATAATCTAAAAATAAACTTGCAAATTAATTTTCTTTTTGTCGCGTTGCCATTTCAACCGCTCAAATGAAAAGCAGTTGTGTTCGCAGTTTGTAATATTGCCCAAAAATCATTCTTGTCCACTTGTACAAATAATATTTGTAATCATCATTATTTATTCATGATGGAAAATTGCATTTATTAAGAAATATATCAAAAATAGCAAGAATTTCATCCAAAAATGAAGAACACGAGTTTCAGTCGGTCTCTTCACCTACAGCAAATAATTTGTCTTGAAGTAAATACATTTACGGCTTACGGACTGTCATTCAACCTTGCACACGAAATTCTATAAACAACAACTTCCAAAAGAATTCTTCTAACATCTTTTTTAGAAGAAAACTTCGGAATTCTCGGTCGCATTGCATGGAATTTAGAAATGTTCCCATATTTTAAACGGAGGAAGTTTTTGAGGGCAATCAAAGCAAATAGAGAGATTTTGTTGCATGAATAATGTGCTGAAGGAATCTGACTACATCCCTCCGTGGTTCTTTGTCCGATAACTAGCCTGCCATCCTAAAGATTGTATGTTTTTCAATTGAGAAGCAAATTTGTTTTCTTCACATGGATTCGCTGTTACCACCCCAAGAGATGATTATTTTTAAAGCCCCTTCTGTGGGTAAAGTATATTTTTTTTCAAATGCCCTGCTAATATTTTCAAGCTCCTCAGCAGGATGATATTGTCATTGGATTCCCTATCATTTACCCAACTGTGTTCCTTGCTGAGGGTTTCTCACTGAGCACTATGCAACGTTCTAAACTCTACCTTCAACTGAGTTTTATCCATGGTGAAAATCATTTGCGCATACAAATAATTCTTTGAATGCATTGGACATTGTCTAAAAGACCAGAATAGAAACGATTCGATGACGTTTTCATAAATCGTACAAACTGCAGAGGCTAATATTACTCACAATTCGCCAGCTATTGTGCCGTGAGGTTTTCCATCATACTCGAGGGTTTTTCATTTTGATTTTATTTAAATTTTAGACGTGGTTATTCATTAACCAAAATAAAGAACACTACAAAGTTACATGATAAGACGCAAAGAATCTAACTTGAAGGCATCGCTAAGTCCCAGACAAATTCCTCTCCATCGATTGCTTTCTGTATCGAAATATTCAAATTTTGAGATCGACGTGAGAGGTCCTTCAATAAGAACCACGTAACAAGTATCAGTATTATTATCGTTGTTATAATTTTTCTCTTAATTTACGAACTTAAGATGAAAATCTAATCTTTCTGAACACAGCAGAGGTCGCTTCACAAGCAGCACGTATGAGTGTAGGAACCTAACACGTTTAAAATAAATGAGTTTCACTGATCGATCAGTACCGTTACATAATGTTCGAATCAAAAGGATTTTAGGGTGAATTCAAATTAAACTAAATATTCCTTGATATGGTTGATAATGCAGTAAATGGCTTGAACCCGGGGTAACATGTGAAGGTGTAGTCTGATCGTCCGGGTGAGTGTAGTCCTGAGAAGGACTGTTGTCGGTGGTAGTGACTGACGTTTCGACACAGGTTGTCGAAACGTCAGTCACTACCACCGACAACAGTCCTTCTCAGGACTACACTCACCCGGACGATCAGACTACACCTTCACATGTTACCCCGGGTTCAAGCCATTTACTGCATTATCAACCATATCAAGGAATATTTAGTTTAATTTGAATTCACCCTAAAATCCTTTTGATTCGAACATTATGTAACGGTACTGATCGATCAGTGAAACTCATTTATTTTAAACGTGTTAGGTTCCTACGCTCATACGTGCTGCTTGTGAAGCGACCTCTGCTGTGTTCAGAAAGATTAGATTTTCATCTTAAGTTCGTAAATTAAGAGAAAAATTATAACAACGATAATAATACTGATACTTGTTACGTGGTTCTTATTGANAGAAGGACTGTTGTCGGTGGTAGTGACTGACGTTTCGACACAGGTTGTCGAAACGTCAGTCACTACCACCGACAACAGTCCTTCTCAGGACTACACTCACCCGGACGATCAGACTACACCTTCACATGGTTGATAATGCATAAATGAAGTTCTTTCGCTCCAAGATGTCCATGTCGTTGCAGTTTGGGCGTAAATGGTATTCATTTGAAATCGTAATGAGTCAAGTACATTCGATTGTATCATTCATCGGTTGATCCTTAATTCGCCAAAGGGATTTTTTTTTGTTGAGTAACGACATAGAACGAAAGCTTAACCGGGAAACCGTTGATATTAAAGGCCAGGTGCATTTAACCTTCGCGTCAATCTCTCAAGGGTATGAACGAAAGATTACACGAGCTGAGAGCTTGAAAATTTTTCGAAAAACTAAAAAATTTGCCGGAGAAAAATACAAGATGAATATCATATTCATGATATGTACCCAGCACAATTTCCAAGATGTTTTGTGCCGTGAGATTTTCCATTCATACCAGATGATTTTAATTTTCAGTTTATTCTATTTATCTATACACTTATCCTTGTATTTGTGGTGGTTAGTAAAAGGGGATGTGGTAAAAAAAAAACCGATTTTAATTTCTGGATGTGTTTATTCATTGTTATGAAATAACTGTGTTATTATGAGGGTCTTGATTGGTTTGAAACCTATCAGTTATTGCGTCAATAAACGCACTAAAACATACTCTGTTCTGTTTGTAATAAGTAGTTTCTTAGAAATCGACTTTGAAAAAAAGGCTAGCGCTAAGAAGTCACGACGTTTCGACCTCTGTGAGGTCATTTTCAAGTGAGTAAGTTTTCCAAATCAGCATAAATATGTTAAAGCAAGTTGAAGACGATAAAATGTGGCGAACGCTAAAATATGTGAAAAAGTGTAAACAATATACAATAGAGGAGAATAAAAGAATAAAGGAATAAAATAATAAAATAATCGCAGCACGAATGGTTCTAAACAAATAGTTTGGCGCCAATTGAATCGCACTGTTTGTTTAGCGTTGGTTTCAGCTCTTTGATGAAAAACATTTCAAAAACAAGACAGTCAAATCTGTTCTGACACTTCCTTAAGATTCGAAAACTCTGTGTGATGTCTTCTGGCTCCAGGTCGTGCTGCTCTCTGAGGTAGTGTCCGATTGCCGATCCAACTGAAACCAACGCTAAACAAACAGTGCGATTCAATTGGCGCCAAACTATTTGTTTAGAACAATTCGTGCTAGCTTTTATTTCAAAGTCTGTTCTGTTTTCAGTTTATTTTATAAAAGCAGAAAACTGCATTTCCTATCGGTTAACCGCCGTCGTATCTTGAAAAGTTTGTAAATCATTCGCCCTCAACTCGCATCCCGCGTGGCCGTGGGTTATTAAGCCGATAAAACGTGGGGTCTTTTTCTACAACTATCTTCGGAGCAGTAATTATCCTATTAAGACGAGGAACAAATGACTCAAATCCAGGTCGGTTTTGGGAATCCACTCTTGGTAAATAGCATATTCAAAATACGACACCAGATTTCAGTGAAAATCATCAGTAATTAAAGAAAAGTAACATATAGCTTAGATAAGCAATGCCGCGTAGAATCATTTAAGTCGCCGATGATTATTACCTTTATAATGAGTATTTCAAATTTCACTTTTGTCGTTTGACGGATCCTGAAAAAAGGTTTTGCAAAGGCTATCAGCAGGCTCCAACAGATAACAAACGTGGCAATGTATGCTCTGATTGGCAGGACCCGGTAGTAATACGAGATATCTTGATTCGTGAATACTTTCAAGAACATTAG